TGCGTGTGAGAGAGAGAGAGGGGGGGGGAGTAGAAAAACCCAGCGAGGGAAGGAGCGAGCAAGTCGTCTCGAGGGCCCTCCCCACCCGTTTCCTTTCCACACACACCCTCACCGCCTCCGGGAGGAGAAAGTTGGCGGGCGGCGGCGTCTCGCGGTCTGAGAAAGGAAAGGAAAGACGGGGAGGGGAGGGGAGGGGAGGGGGGGGGAGGGAAAGCGAGGGGAGGGGCTCTCTGCCCGGCGCGCGCCGGGCCCGCCTGAAGGAACCTGCGCGCGCCGGGCAGAACCAAGTCGGCGGGTTGTGGGGGGGGGGGTGGGGGGGCCGGAGGGGGGGGGGGTGCGGTTTCTAGGGGCAACGGAGGGGCGGGGGAAGTAACGGCCTCAGGGCAAACATCTGCCTCCCCCCCCCATACACACACACACACATCACCACCAAGCCAGGCTGCCGTGTGAACAAAAGCCGCGCGTCAGGAGGAGGGAGGAGGAGGGCAGCCGCTGAGGGAGGCGATATTTGCCCGGCTCCTACGGGATAATATTCTCTTTCTCTCTCCTCAGCAGGTGGGCCGACTTTCTCCCATCGAGGCGGCGTTTCCCCTCAACAGCAGCAGCAACACCCCTCTCCTTGGATGGTGCTCCGCCGCTCTCCGCTGAGCTGGCGCCTTACCTGGCGGCGGCAGAGGCGCTCCTCTTCCGAGGTGAAGAAGGCGCTTTCTTTTCCTCCTCCCTCCCGGGGTGGTTGGATGCTTCGGGGACTTAGCCCAGAGACTCCCCCTCCATGCCGGCGACCACCATGGCCGCCCTCTCGCGCCGCCTGTTGCTGTGGGTCCTTTGCGGATCCGAGAGCGACGGGAAGGCTCGCTCGGCGTCTCGCAGGGGCTTTTTTTTTTTTTTCCCCTCCTCCTCGCTCCTTTCCTCTCTCTCTCGAACTCGGCAGCCCAAGCACCGTTTTCCCCACCCCGGCGTCTTCCCGATTGGTGGCCTTCTCTCAAACAGGAACAATACATCGAGCTCGCTCATTCGTCGGAAACCACGCTACTCCTCCGTCGCCGCGTCCCTCCTTCCTTCCGATTGGCTGGTGGGGCACCGAGCGAGTTCTCAAACCGGCCCATCCCGGACGCAAAAGGCGGGGACGCTTGGACGCCCAATCGCAACGGAGGGGCTGGCAATGCTCGTCGCCATTGGGGCTTTCAGCACGTTTCCTTTCCCTGCCATTGGTCAATACGGAAGTCACTCGTAAACTTCAGCCGCCTGTCCACGGGCTCGTGAATTGGGTGAAGGGGCCACCGAGCTCCTGGGGTAAAGCGTGTCTTTTTCAACCTTGGCAAGTCTCCAAACTTGACAGCTTTAAGACTTGCGGACTTCAACTCCCAGAATTCCTGAGCTAACATGACTGGAGGAGGAATTCTGGGAGTTGTAGTCCACAAGTCTTAAAGCTGTCAAGTTTGAAGACCTCTGTTTTAAGGTGTGCGGACTTCAAAGTCCCAGAATTCCCTGGTCAGCACGCCGGCTAGAGAATTCTGGGAATCCACACCTCATAACTTTACCAAGATTGAGAAACTGATGTAAAAAAATACAGAGATGTCTTCCCTGATTTGCAGCTACCTAAACAATAATCCTTGCTGAAAAGCGAGGTGTAAATTACCTAATACTGTTGGTTTTCATTTTTTAAAACATATTTATCTCCTTTTGCTGAATTCTAAGCTCAGTTTCAGTATTATACTTTTGCAGCAAAAAACAACACAGCACAACATTATACAGACTTTCTTACAAACCTATTTATCCAACAGAGCAATTTATGCAAGACTCTGAAAGAAATGAATTAAAAGGCAAGTCAAAAAGAAAATATAAGCAAATTTAGTTACTCTTTATATTTTCTTGCATATAATCATGACTTACATTAAGTTTACACGCTCCTTAGAATCTTATTTCTGTTCAAGTACAAGCTGCTCAGTCTTCCCTCCCTTGTTCTTTCTTTAGATACTTGTTTTGCAATTTGATATTCATTAATTCATTCTTGACTAAGCCACTTCAACATATTTTGGTATTCAGTCCTAATGAGCACCTATTAATGCTTCTAGCACACAAAATTCTTCACCAATTATTTGCATTGTATTTGAACTTTTAAATATTTTTGATGAATCATATCCTACTTCGCTAGTTGTTTTTGTTTTGTATTGCATCAAAGAATTTCAGTATTGGATAATGATCAAAATTAAAATGGAACTGTGTATATTTTATGATGAATAGTCCACTGTCACAATTAGAACAAGTTTCCCATGCTGAGTTTCTAGTTCTTCTTTCCAGTGGAAGGTTCACATGTCACGCTAAGTAAACCAAAACCAAAGCAATTAATTAATGTGATAGGTGAACCAAGGTGCTCTAGCCTGTAAATCATGATTTATGTATTAGGGTTTTGAGCTGGCCAGCCATCTGTGGCATCTTTATTAAATAATTGTTCATCAGCAGCTTAATGTCATGTGAGAACTAAGTTGGACTTTGTATATAAGTTTTATAGCTGCCTCCCAAAATGATATAGCCTTTAAATGTATACAAGAGTCAGAGAGGAGTGAAGCGCTAGGCAATCAGGGCAGTGAGACAAGCGCCTAATAATTTATATCACTGAGCACCCAAGGAAATTACTATCAATTCATTGGATACATTAGGGCAGGGGTCCCCAACCACGGGGCCATGGACCGGTACCGGTCAGTGGAACATTTCCTACCGGGCCACCGGTTTGCTGGGTGCCGCCATCTTGTTTGATGAGAAAGTGCTTCCGGGTGAGCTTTTCCGGTTGGAAAGCGGCATTTGGGTCCTGAAGGAATCCTCGCGCCTTAGTTTCATCGAAGGGGGGGGCAGCTTTGAACGAAACTAAGGCGCGAGGATTCTTTCAGCACCCAAGGCAAGGCGAGCCGAGCGACTGTCCTGAAGCTGTCCCGAAGCGAAGCCCATCGACAAAGGTACAAAGGAGGAGTTGAAGGTGGCGGGGAGAAGCGGGGGACGGCTGGCTGGCCGGTCGCTCGGCTCGCCTTGCCTTGTCATGCATGCTGATGCCGGTACCGGGCCGCGGATCATTTTGTGATGTTGGTACCGGGCCGTGGCACAAAAAATAAATGCTACATGATTCCAGAACATAGGAAAGTCTTGTGACAAAAACTTTTGTCAGTTCATTTGTGAATAGGGACAATTTGCCCACTTGCACTTAAGCATAGTCCCAACATGGCAACATCTTTTTTCCCCATGTCTCCATAATGTTGCCTTTATTTCATCCTTAGAATGAGACAAGTTTAAATTAGCTGTACTGGTATTGAATCCATGGCTAGCTGCAAGATTGTTAGCCTCTCTCTTACATTATCTTTAAGGAGAGAACAAGTGAACAGATACAATTTGTTGAAGAACTGGGATCAGCAATGGGTACAGTTATTTATCTGTCACTAGAGTTTTCTGTCAATGAACAAAATGACTGATGGCTGTTTCATTAGTAGTGCAGAAATTCCCGTTATGGTAACTGCCATACTTCACATAAATTATAGAAGGTTGAATAAATAAATAAATCGAGGAATTAATAAAAATAAATAACCAAAATAAGTATCTTAAAATATAGAAAAATTTATTTAAATAAAAGTGAAAATAAAAGAAACCAATAAACACTCTTTTTTAAAAAAAGAAAGTGTAGCAAATCTCTATACGGGTGAAACTCGAAAAATTAGAATATCATTCAAAAGTTCATTTATTTCAGTAATGCAACTGAAAAGGTGAAACTAATATATGAGATACACTCATTACATGCAAAACAAGATAGTTCAAGCCGTGATGTGTTATAATTGAGATGATCATGGCTTACAGCTCATGAAAACCCCAAATCCACAATCTCAGAAAATCAGAATATTGTGAAAAGGTTCAATATTCTAGGCTCAAAGTGTCCCACTCTAATCAGCTAATTAAGCCATAACACCTGCAAAGGGTTCCTGAGCCTTTAAATGGTCTCTCAGTCTGGTTCAGTCGGAATCACAACCATGGGAAAGACTGCTGGACTGACAGTTGTGCAGAAAACCATCATTGACACTCCATAAGGAGGGAAAGCCTCAAAAAGTAATTGCAAAAGAACTTGGATGTTTCCAAAGTGCCATATCAAAGCACATACTTTAACTTTCTATTAAAGTTATGTGGAAGGGAAAAGTGGAAGAAAAAGGTGCACAAGCAGCAGGGATGACCGCAGGATTGTCAGGAAAAGGCCATTCAAAAGTGTTGGGGACTTTCACAAGGAGGGGACTGAGGCTGGAGTCAGTGCATCAAGAGCCACCACACACAGACGGATCCTGGACATGGGCTTCAAATGTCGTATTCCTCTTGTCAAGCCGCTCCTGAACAACAAACAATGTCAGAAGTGTCTTACCTGGGCTAAATAAATGGTTCTCAGCCATCCAGAGGCCACTTTCAAGAGGCCACTGGCCTTTCTTCTGCAAATGACCAGCTGTCTGCAAGGAATATAAATCCCTCCATTCTCCACCATCCATTCAGAGCTGAAGCTTCTTAGATGAGAAGTGAAACGTCTTCAAAAGAAAAAAACACAAGGAAGTCCAGTTGCCTCCTGAAAAAAGCTCCTTTGGGACAACCATGATCTGGAAGGCTGAGAACCTCCATAGACATTTAGCTGTACACTACAGAGTTGAAGAAGCTTCTTGGTGGAGAAGCGAAACGTCTTCAAAGAAAGTCCAACTGCCTACCCACACAGCTTTGGGACATTAAAAGGATTAAATCGTGCAAACCCGCAAAGCAACCATTTGCAGTCGAGCGTGGGCTTGATTGAAAGCATCTTCCCTCGCCCGCAGCAGGTATCATGACAATAATAGTAATAACCTAAACTGGCTCCATATGCTTTACCTCTAACGGTGAGACTCCGCAGCGCCTCTCTCGCCCCACCTCTCTGTTTCCCCTGGGTCCTTCTAGCCGCCTTTTATCTATGGGAAGCACAATTTGACCGGAATGCGTCCTTCCTAGCGTCCTTCCGGTTTCTGAGCGGAACTTCCGGTTTCTGAGCTTTCTGCCCTCTGGCTTCAGAGTCCCCTGAGCGGGACTGAGTGCGGGGTGGGAGGGGGGCGTGTTGTGTCGTCGGTGTTTCTGCCCCGTAGACCGACCAATGGAGCCTCCTGGTCAGTCGCGAGCTCCCGGATCCTACGGTCCCACGGACGGGATGGTTGACAAGGTAGCTTTTACCTTTCTCTCTCCATGCCCGGTAAGGCGGTGGGGGGAAGCGAAGGATCGAACGTTTTATCTGGTTCTCCCGCCTGGTTCTTCCATATCGGACGATAAGCTCCGCTGACCTTGAGGTTCTTGTTCTTTTTATTTTCCCCTCCAGGATTATAATGCTTGCTCCCAGTCGGATCCAGAAGGAAGGAAAAACACGCGGAGTTAGATGAGGAATCAGCGCAATCCCAGCCTTCCTAGTGCAGAAACTTAGCATCCATCCCTCTTAATATTTCCCCTAGGAGAATGAAAGATTTAGGAAAATATAATATTCCGGCTTTTTAATATTTCCCCAAGAAGAATGAAAGATTTAGGGAAATATAATATACTGCCTTTTTAGTATTTCCCCAAGGAGAATGGAATGTTTTGGGAAATATAATATTCCGGCTTTTTAATATTTCCCATAGGAGAATGAAAGTTTTAGGAAAATATTATAATCTGCCCTTTTAGTATTTCCCCAAGGAGAATGGAATGTTTTGGGAAATATAATATTCTGCCTTTTTAATATTTCCCCAAGAAGAATGAAAGATTTAAGAAAATATAATATTCCGCCTTTTTAATATTTCTCCTAGAAGAATGAAGTGTTTTGGGAAATATTATATTCTGCCTTTTTAATGTTTCCCCAAGAAGAATGAAAGATTTAGGGAAATATAATATTCTGCCTTTTTAGTATTTCCCCAAGAAGAATGAAAGATTTAGGGAAATATAATATTCCGCCTTTTTAATATTTCCCCAAGAAGAATGAAGTGTTTTGGGAAATATTATATTCTGCCTTTTTAATGTTTCCCCAAGAAGAATGACAGATTTAGGGAAATATAATATTCTGCCTTTTTAATATTTCCACTAGAAGAATGAAAGGTTTAGGGAAATATAATATTCCGCCTTTTTAATATTTCTCCTAGGAGAATGAAGTGTTTTGGGAAATACTATATTCTGCCTTTTTAATGTTTCCCCTGGAAGAATGAAATGTTTTGGGAAATAGTAAAAAGGTAGAATATTATATTACCTTAAATCTTTCATTCTTCTAGGAGAGGGGTGGGTGCTAATTTTCTGTATTAGGTTTAAATCAAGAAGTCCCAAAGGTGCTTTTTTAAGAGTAAACTGGACTTTCATGTTTTTTCATTGAAGACATTTCGCTTCTCATCCAAGCAGCTTCTTCAGTATCGTTAGTTGACTAGATTCTTGTACAGGGGTAGTAATAATAAACTCTTCTGTGCTTTGAAGTCAACAAATGCTTCTGATTATTTGCACCTGACACATACTAACATGTTTATCACAGCATGTATCTGAAAGTATACATGTAGTATAGGGGGTTATATGTACAATTCAAATAGTGAGAAATATAAATTGTGTCATAATTCCGCATTCCAGTTTTCTCTGGGAGATACAAAGATATCTAAAAATAATAATTATATAATGTTAAAATCATAGGAAAACGTATTTCTTCATCCTGATATCTATTATAGCTGAGATACTTAAAACTCTAATGCTTAGTGTTTTCTTTTTAATAAAAGCACAAGCTAGATCATTCATATGAACTGACACCAGAAGAATACAGAGTAAGCCGAGAATGCATTAGAGAGAGCTTCTTATACAGATGTAAGTAAAATGTTCCTTGCTTGTGCTTGTTGTTGTTGGCCTCTTTTGCCAAATAATCAATAATTGATTTTTATAGGTAATATAGCTTACACAGATGTACAGTTCAGTTATGTTACTGGGGCTTGTTGGTGAGGGGACACTTCCATATAATTCACATATCTGTGATCCATTGGGTTTACCAAGAATGAGACATTTACTCCAAGATGGTGGTGAAAAATACCTTGTACCAGTTATAAAATATGTGTAGGCTCAGGGCTGTGTGAAAATATTTATGTGTCCCACATTGTAATGTAGTATATGTGTCTTAGAATTTATGCAGTAGTGGAGAAGATGGTTGAACATTTTTTGTTCCTGTGAAGCACGATTCAATTCCACTTTCCATTGTTGAAATACAGAGACTCCTGAGTTATATATCTCCTATTGCCAACACATACATTATGCTGAATTATAGACTCTCCTTGATAGATCAGAGTGACTGGATTCCCACAACATGATAACCTGGAGTAAGCCACATTATGCCTTAGCAAGTATATGAACCCAGTTTGCGGGTTGTATTTTTGTTTCATCTTTCCTTCTAGAAGCTGAGAAGAAGATGGATGTTTCCAGAAGCTTATTTAACAACTGTTAAGCTTCTTACAATAACTCTGTGAAGTAATTTGATTGAGCGAGAAGTCATCGCATGAACTTGATCAGAGAAATATTTGTACTTCGGTTCCCTTGCTGTTGTCTTGAAAGTTTTCTGATTTGAAAGGATCCTGTTTTTCACTATCTGAAACATATTTACAGGTTTAATGTTTGTTGCTCAGAATATAGTAAAATTTCACCTCCTCATGGATGTTCTGCGCCCCTTCCCCTTTTCTTAGGTTTGCCTTTCTCAAGTTTTGCCATGGTGATCACCCATATATTAGTTCGTAGAGGTATGTTCCAAATATCTTTAAATTTGAAATTCTGTGGGGGGAAAAATCATTCCCAGGTGACATATTTTGCAAATCTTTAATGATGACTTTTTAAAATTATAGGTCTAATTGGGGGAAAAATGAAGCTAAGTGATATTAGCATGCTGAAAGTTAAATAATTGCCTGGCTATTTTTTTAACTTAACAGTTTTGTATAGTAATTTTCCTTTTCTCCCCTTCTTAATGTTGATTATCAGGAGTCCTTACGTCTCATCCAAAGTTCGGCGCTATACCAAAAATGACATGTGAGTTTTCATTCATATCAGACTTCTGTTGTACCTAATGGCTCAGAGCTGAGGGTGAGGATTCTCATTATTTAGTGAGAGAAAATATTATACAGCTTTTAACAAATTCTATAAAAAATGTTGCACGAAAAGCAGAGCAACATAATAGGACAATAGTATCAAGGTTCAAAATTTAGGTGCCTGTGTAAACACTGCCTATTTAGCGGGCTCTCCAAGGCTGTTTTGCTCATTGAGCCCTCTGTTAAGTTTCAGATTCTTCAGCAAACTTTAAACGTTTAGTATATGAAAGTAATTTAATACGTACTAAATGAACTAGTGGTACTATTGCTAAGAATAATATCAACCCTTGATACAGTAGTCTTGGGGGATCAACACAGAATCCCGTTCTGTAGCAGGGATATAAAATGGCACATGTGCAAAATGCCACCGTTATGGCTTGCATTCCAACTGTTGACACAAATGCACAATTTTCAGCATTTGTGTGGCTAAAGTCGTCAGGCATGTCATCATATACACCCCTCAATAAGACATCTATGTCACTATCTGAGAATATATGCCAAGTAAAGTAAGGGTGGGCAAGTAGGTAAATAGATAGAGTTAGTCATCTACTTATGAACCACAAAGGAGCCCAAACTTTCTGTTGTTAAGCGAGACATTAAGTGAATGATGCCCCTTTTAGTGACCTTTCTTATTAAGTGAATCACTGCAGTGGATTAGTAACCTGGTTGTTAAGTGAATCTGACTTTCCCCCCCAATGACTTTGCTTATCAGAAGGTCTGAAAAAGTTGATCACATGACCTTGGGACACAGCAACGGTCATAAGTATGAACCAGTTGCCAAGCATCTGAATTTTTTATCACATGACCATGGGGATGGCACAAAAGCCGTAACTGTGAAAAAATGGTCATAAGACACTTTTTTCAGTGCTGTTGTAACTTTGAACGGTCACTAAATGAACTATTGTAAGTTGAGGACTACCTGTAGATAGATAGATAGATAGATAGATAGATAGATAGATAGATAGATAGATAGATAGATAGAGAAAAGAGAGAGAGAGAGATATGGATAAATAGATTTTTCATTTTCTTTAACTTCTGAAAAAAATAGAAATACAAATAGGAACAGTAGGAAAGCTATAATATAACCCTGTCCATGTAGAGTTGTCTGTACACCTAAACTATAAGTAAGGATTTTAGCTCTAGACTTGTAATAGTGATCTCATCAGGAGTTTATCATCAACTTGTTGAAAAAGAGAGAGAAAATACTGTAGAACTGTTTGCTTAAAAGTCATTGGTAGTTTGCTCTGTTATATTAAAATGGACCTGAATGTTTTTTGCTGACCTCTTTACTTAGAAGTTTTATAAGTTCGGTGTGCGTTGTCATCAAGAAATGGGGGGAAATGTTTAGAAAATTAAAAGCACGTTTTACGGAAGAGATTGTTTTTGTGTGTGTGACACTTTCCATGGATTCCATTTTAACTATGTTCATTTATTTAAAATGTCATTTTGTCAAACATCTTAAAGAGTATTTGTTTCCCTTTGTAAATAAGTTGCAGGAATCTGTGGATGGTTTGCTGGGAAGATATCTTACATAAATGTATGCAAAGAGAAGTTTATGAACCTAAAAGATTCACCCTTGGGAGAAATGTTGAGGAATGAATCACAGTAAGATTTTTTTTATTTAAGATTGTCATTTCTAGAAAGAAAACCTGCTTTAAAACAACAGGGTCACTGTATACCAGGTGTGTCCAACCTTGGCAACTTGCTGGCTGAGGAATTCTGGGAGTTGAAGTCCACAAGTCTTAAAGTTGTCAAGGTTGGACACCCCTGCTGTATACTGTTCTTTACTTTTCCCATTACAATAATACATGACATGTCTTCAGAAAATGAGTGTGGTCTGCATCGGACTGTTATGAGCTTGAATTCCAAGATTTTTCAAAATATTAAATTGTCAGTTTCTTTTAGAAGGGAACAAAATCAACTTGGTGATAATACGGATTGTACGTGGTTTACGTTTGCCTTTTCTTTAGAATCAGAAAAGAAGATTTTGAGTTTAAAAATATAGACAAATGGAAACATTGGACATTTATTCAAGTCTTCCCAAAGGGTAGTCTTGCTTGAAAGAGAAGATAGTTGGAACATATTTAAGAATAACATTGCCAAACTTCAGTGCTTAAACCTGGTCTTCATAGAATGATGTTTAGGCAAGAATTTTTATTGAAGCCGATATTGAACCAATTCAAATGGTTTGAATTTAACCAGAACTTATATTTTTATGGTGTTAATAGGAGAGAAGCATAAGTAGAGGGGAAGAAATAAATGCTTTTGAATACACACAAACAAAACAAGACAAGACACAAATTTTAAATGATCAATTTTTCTTGAACCTTAAGCTATCTATGAAAATTTAAAATCTCTGTTTCTTTTAACACGTATCTGGGAAATTTTCTTCACTGTTTCCTTTTCCTGATACAGTGTACAATTAATGGGAAAGGATAATCAATGTAATAGGACTTGCAATAAAACTGTCTAGAATAGCATTGTGTAGAACTATAGCTAGGCCATGTGATTTTAAATCATTCAGTGATCTTACGTTTTTGCACCTCATGTTACAGTGACAATCTAGTGTAATATTTGGCCTCGATTGTGCATTTTAGTTTATATTGCTTTTATCTCCTTCAGCTTTCAAGATCCCGAGGCCATGTAACTTTCCCCAAAAAACAAAGTAACAATGAGAGCTGCTTGTTTCTGATACCTTTTCCATAGAACAATTAGGGTTTATTTTATTTATGATTTTTCATCCTGTCTTGTTTTTTTCCCAAATAACTGAAGGAGGCAAACATATCTAATATTCCTATTTCCCCCACCACAACAATCCTATGACTGCATGTATTCAACAAGTCTAACAGTGTTTTTGCTACTGATTTTTGTTTCCACTCAGTGTGTCTTGCTGCAGTGACCAACAATAGTCTGCAGCATTTATGGATTCTATTTGCTTGATACCGTGGCAATGTCCCGGTGAAAGCTTTCATCATATTCATTGCTGACTGGACGTAGATTATTGGGAAAGAAGTCCAAGTGTGAATATAGAAAAATGAATCTTCAGTGGCATGTTGCACTTCATGGTCTTTTATCCTATTAGAAATTTGTCAACCAGCTGGATATAATGAGTGGTCTGTAATCTGTAGTTACCCAGAAAATTCTCAACTACATCCTTGAATGCTTTCCAGTGACTTTTTGTTCTGGCCCTGCTAACAGATCTTCAAACTGTTTTTCATTGTTGACGTATCTCATCTGTGGACCGATAAAAAAGCCTTCCTTAATTTTGGCATCCGTTATTCTTGGAAATATCTATCTCAAACACCAAGCACCTTCACCTTCCTTATTCATCATTTTCACAAAATTTTTCATCAGTCCTTGTTGTATGTGAAGCAGAGGCAAAAATACCTTTGGGGGGTCAATGATGGTTCTTATGCCACATTTTTCTATCCCGGAACCAAAGTCATTTGCAGTGGCCATTTCATTTTAATGTAATGCAACTCTTGCACAGCTGATTCATTCGCATATGTCATAACACTACTTGGTATATCTGAGCTGCATTTCAAGCTGCAAGGTCACTACTTTTAGATCTCCAGAGTTATTCCAGTTCTACTTGGTGAGCTGGAGACGTTTCAACAACAGTTCCATGTTTTCATAGATCTCTTTTGTGTGTGCAGCATAGTAAACAGGTATTGATGGGTATATATTGTCATTGTGTGAAAACAAGATTTCTGTAAAATGGCATGGGTTGGTGAAATTACAAAAAGTGTTAGGAAGCAAAAATGTTACAAAGAAACATCTTTGTCGTCCAATACTATTATTTGTTAGTGGCTTATTTCTCTGGCAGTCAAAATACAGTTAGTAAATCAACAATGTCAGATTGTTCTAGTGCGAGAGTGTCAAACTCGATTTCACTGAGGGCCGCAGCGGGATTGTGTTTGACCTTGGAGGGTGGGCGTGGCCAGCTTGACATTGCTTGTGTTGGGGGCTCTTGTGGTGGCCCAAGTGCTCTGCCAATGAAAATGGGCTCCCGAGCTCTGTTTTCAGCTGTGATTGCCTCCCGCAACCCTCTGCCAGCGAAAACAGAGCTCTTGAGGGCCATGGGCTGTGCTCCCGAGCTCCATTTTCTCTGGTAGAGGCACTGCGGGCCAGTCCTTTGCTTTTTGCAGGGTGGCCCTTAGGGTCAGATCTAAGCATCCTGCGGCAGAAGTGGTATTTAGCGGTTTCTGACCCAGTTCTGGAGAACCGGAAGCGGAAATTTTGAGTAGTTCAGAGAACTGGCAAATACCACCTCTGACTGGAGATTTTACAGTATCCTTCCCCAGCCACGCCCACGGAACCGGTAGTAAAAAAAAATTGAATCCCACCACTGCCCTGCGGACCGAGTTTTTAAGCGCGACGATTTTTAAAACCAGTGAAGTCCTTGCCATCTCTCTTTCTCCACAGATCCAAAAGCCAGCGCTTTGAATATTCGCGAGCGCCCCCCTTTTCTGAAAGGCCTCCAGCCCCGGAGACAGCACCGACTCCAAGCTTCTACGAACCGGTCCCATTTAGCTCTTCCGTGAATGAATCTGCTCCAAGCGGAATTACCGACAGCATTGCTCAAGGTACGTAGATGCCTACAGTTATTTGAATACGTAAGCCCTCTTTAGGCTACTTAGATATGAGGGTATCAGTGCACAGTAAGTAGCAGCACTAAAGCATTGTAACAGGTTGCCCTTAACTTACAACAGATGGTTTAGTGAGCGCTCGAAGTAGCAACGGCACAGAAAAAAGTGACTCACGACCATTTTTCACCCTTAACGACCATTGTGTCACGTGATTAAAATTCAGGCGCTCGGCAACTGACTCGTCTCTATGATAGTTGCAGTATCCCAGGGTCACATGATCCTGTTTTGCGACCTCCTTTATAAGCAAAGTCAGTGGGAAAGCCAGATTCACTTAATAACCGGGTGACTAACAATGGCAGTGATTCACGTAAGAACTGTGGCAAGAAAGGGTTGTAAAATGGGGCACTTAACTGTCACAGACATTTTGGACTCCATTGTAGTCGTTAGTCGAGAACCGTCTATAGGGCGCCAATAAATATGCTTCCTGTATGTCTAAGATTGGCCAGAAGTTAATCCTTTCTCTTCTTGCCAATTCTGCCAGTGAGATTTCATCAGTGGGCTTTGGATTTTTCTCCATGACTCGTGGTCTGACCAAGGCTTCCTGAGACCGTAATTAAGCACACGCTTAGTCTAAACAACTCTTGTTTTATTTCAACGCTGGGAATTATGTGCATTCCCAGTCCGTAATGAGTCCCAAACAGTCCCTCGAGATAAGAACCCACCTTTCTCTCCTTTGAATCGCTGCCAGTATCTAAAGTGCCAAATTAACTGTAAAAAGCCAAACAGAGTACAAAGCCCACACAGAGCATCCAAGTTTAATCCGAACAGAGTGAACAAAGTTGCTTCCTGCAAAGGTTCCTGTCCCTTTGCTCCTCTTTTATGTCTTATGGGAGGACCAATCACCTCTAAGTCTTACTCCTGAGTCACCCCTTTTGTCTTAACTGTTTTTGCCTTCTGGCAGCTCTGCGCACTGGGAACAGGCTTCCCTTGTTCCTCTACCTTGTTGCGGTCAAATTCTGGAGGCTCCGGGGTCAGCACACAACTCCCAGACGGTCCTGGTCCCATCTCGGTATCGGACGCAGGATCTTTGTCTGAGTCCTCCCCAGACTCCAGAACTGACCCATGTTCTTCCCCACTGTCTGACTCTGCTGCCAGTTCCGCAGGCTGCCGGCGGATGACAACAACTAGAGAGAGTTGGCATGTATGGATGGGAAGTTTGCTGAGTTCAGAAATTCTGGGAGTTGAAGTCCACACATCTTAAATTTGCTAAGGTTGACCATTTATATGCCCTCTTTGAAGTTTGGCACCCTGAAAATTGATCAACATCGAGGTACATAATACACATGACACACTGAAAATCATACACAAGGGTTAGATCATTTCAATATACATCAGATATAATTCCAATATTGTCTCTTTTAAATTTCTCCCAAAGTCAAAACTCGTGCGGAAATCATAAAGGCTGCTAAAATAAATCTATTTTGCAATCTACACCTGCTATCCGTGTGCAAAAAAAATTAATTAATTTTAGTTAATTAATTTTATTTGGTGGGGCGGGGTGGTGGTGGTATTTCTTCTTCACTTTTAAGAACCTGAGCTTCAGGAACAAGCTCCTAAAAGGAAAAGAGTCACGTACGAAGAACTCAGAAACAGAAACAGAGAAGGACATGAGGCTGGAACAATGCAGAGATCTGAAATTCGAACAAGTCCATTACCAATAAAGGAGAAAGGTAATTATTCAACTGGGAACATCATTGGTAATGGAATATTACAGCTACTGTACTAAGGAGCCAACATTTTGTATTGTGTGTTTTAGTTGTGCTTGGAATACACAGCCATGAACTGGAAACAATATTTTTCTGTACTTATTTTTAAACCGACTAGTTCCTTTTGTTGGAATCATTGTTTTAAAGTGAGTTGTAGAATTTTAACATTTTTTAATATTAAAAAAATCTGAGTGGCCAATAAAGCAGGTATATAAAAAAGGTAAAGGTTCCCCTCACACATACGTGCTAGTCATTTCCAGCTCATCTCTGTTACAGAAGAGAGCCAGCGCTGTCCGAAGACGTCTCCGTGGTCATGTGGCTGGCATGACTAAACGCCGAAGGCGCACGGAACACTGTTACCTTCCCACCAAAGTGGTCCCTATTTTTCCACTTGCATTTTTTATATGCTTTCGAACTGCTAGGTTGGCAGAAGCTGGGATCAGTAACAGGAGCTCACTCCGTTACGCGGCACTAGGGATTCGAACCGCCGAACTGCCGACCTTTCTGATCGACAAGCTCAGGATCTTAGCCGCTGAGCCACCTGGTGTTATTTCGTATAGCGATCTCAAATCAGAAAAGAACAAGGCCTGAATTGCTAGCTTTTGAGGCACTTTGATTTAAATCTAGTTGTTATAATTCACAAACAACATTGTCTTCAGTCATGTTTCCCAAGCCACTTCTTTCATAAACAGATGTAAAATCTGACCGGTACTTTACATTTAAATACTGCATTTACGCTTTTATTGTTGCCGCTAAGATCTTTATTGCATTTGTTATATTTTGCATGCTTTCATTTTCTATTTATAGAGGGGACATGTATATAAATATTTTTGTGTGACTGATTTTCTGATAGTGAAATGAACTTTAGGACTGTAAATCCCTGCTCTAGATAATCTTGTTTTTGGCTATTGCGTTCCACTATTGCACGGATGTCAAATTCGCCATGTCACATTGCTGTCACGTGACAGTTTTCCCCTTCATGGAGCTGGGGTGGGCGTAGCCTACACATGACGCATCCAGTCCACAGGCCGCCAGTTTGCACTATTGCTTCTTTCTATTTTCACTATGGCCAATACCTATTTCACAGAAACAAAAATGTATCGACAATTAAACCTGGTTACTGTAAAATGGGTGAAAGACAAAAGGTTTCCTTCATCCAGTCGTGTCCGACTCGAGGGCATGGTACTCATCTGTTTCGTAGCTGAGGCAACCAGCATTGTCCAAAGACATTTTCTGTGGTCCTGTAGCCACGGAACGCTATTACTTTTCCCACTGAAGTGGTACCTGTTGATCTACTTGCATTTCTATGTTTCTGAACTGCTAGGTGGGCAGGAACGTAAAGTAAGTTGTATGAATTAATGGCCAAACAAGAGCAGTGACAATGAAATTTCTCTCTCTGGTAGATAAGAGCATAATGTACCCCATAAGAGTGTAGACATTGAGTGCCTTCTCCCTTTTTATATATACTTCAAAGCATTGTTATTTCATTCAGGAAAGAGCTGCTATGAAGCAAGATGGAGGGAGGAATGTATTAGTGAACTGACAGACCAGTAACCTTTTGTAATATATTCCTTTACCTTAATGGTAATATTTTACCAAATGCAGATACACGGGTCATATCTAGAGAAGCAAGCAGAGCAGATTTATAGCATCAGATTCGGATACTCGCCCCAAAGATGAGAGCCAGCAATTTACACCTCTCAAATATGATACAACAGTGTTAGTCTTCGCTTTACCAGTGGCAACTGGGACGTGGAACTCCATTGTTAAGTGAGATAGTCATAAAGTGAAATATCACGTGGCTATGCTGAACTTAAGACTATGATATGTTAATTCCATCTCTGGCTATTAAGCGAATCACCTACGGCCATTAAGCACGTCATGTGGCCACAACCTGTAACTTCCTGCAGGTTCCCTATTTTACTTTGTTGGAAGCTGGCTATGAAGTTTGCAAATTGTGATCATGCAACTGCGGGATAATGCAACAGCCAGTAGTAAATGCATTCTGGTTGCCAAGTGCACAGAGCACAGTTATGTGATCAGAAGGACACAGTGACAGCTACAACTTCAAGAACTGGTTGTAACTCTCCTTATTTAGCCTTGTAGCTTCAAACTGTCTCAGCAAGTCACTAGTAAGGGAGGGTACTTGCACTGATGCTTTAAACCTAGTGCAAGCAATGGCTATGTACAGTAGAACCATACAATAGCGTTGGCATGTTGGCCAATAGCGTAGAGGAGGAGTGTCCAACTCAAGGCCTGGGGGCCAGATCAAGCTCGTGGGGTGCTTAGATCTGGCCTGAGGGGCCACCCCGGAAACAGCAAAGGACCGGTCCACAGTGCCTTTGCCAGTGAAAACGGGGCCCTCCCGAGCTCCGTTTTCTCTGCAGAGGGTTGAGGAGGCTGTCACAGCCGAAAACTGAGCTTGGGAGCCCATTTTCTCTCATAGAGTTCTCTGGCCACCGCAGGCACCCGACCTGAGTGACGTCGAGCTGGCCACACACATCCTGCCCCCCCCCCACACACACACCCTGTCTCCCCCCCCCCCCCGGTCAAACACAATGCATTTGTGGCCCTCAAAGGTGTGACCTCCCTGGTGTAGAGTGTCCCCCAGGTTCTTATATCTGTTGGTAAAGTGGGAGACAAGCGTAGATCTTACGTACATGACTCTTTTCTTTCTTTCTTTTTTTGTCTCTTTTTAGCCAAGTTAAATAAGTATGGAGATGTTTGGGAAGAGTGAAAATTTTGAACTTCCACAAGACCCGTCTTTGCTTCATTATTTCAGCTTAATCACTGTTGGTCAAACAGCTGAACGTTCTACTGCGAAATGGAAATGTAATACCTGTGCAATAAAGATACATTTGTCTCTTTTTCACAGAAATATTGTTAACATGAAGGTGTCTAAAATGGAAAGTGTCTTTTGCTTTGGACCCAGGACAGAAGTTCTGATGGACTGGTCTGGAGTAACTGCAGTTAAACAAAAACAAAATCTGGAATGTTTTTGTTGCTCCAGTTTTCAGTTAAAGCAAAACATACAGAGAGCCTGGAATAATAATAATCCCAGCTGCCTTCTCCTGTATGCTCATATAGCCTTTACCTCCATTCCAGTTGTGATAACCCGGGGCGTGGCACAAAGGCAACATAGATAATCAGTAGGAGTCCCTTTCTTATCTCCAAGTTTGCCCCCCCAGTGTCCTGGTTACCTTCTGGCTGGAGAAAAGCTCTCCCAGGAACAGCCTTTGGCTGCAGAGAATCAAGTCCAAAACATGGTCAACAAAAACTGTAACTATAAGTCCAATCAAGGCAAAATGAGGTAATTAGTCCGGCAGGGCAGAAGGAATTCCAGATATGAAGGCATGGCAAAAACTTGACACATTTGGGAGGAAGCCAGGAACGCAGATAACCAAAGTACACACACCATAAGCTCACGTTTGTTCCCAGCAGACGCCGCACTCAGCTTGTATCTTTTAAATTCCCGGATGTGGCTAATGAAAGGAATCAGGGCCCTTTCTTCCCCCATAAGCCATGCAACCCATGTTTCTGGTGCAGTCCATCAAGAAGGATGAGGCTTGAAGGTGGGCCTCACAAGTAGTCTGGCCCACCTTCTCTGTTCCTGCCTTTTCTCTGCCCTAGGTGTCGTTGGGATCAGGTGCAGAAGGCAGTTCCTCCTCCTCATGGAATGGCTCTAGTTGCATGCTTTCCCCACTTAGAGGCCTCAGCCAAATCCGTTACCAACTGCTGCTCAGAGACATCAATCAAACTCAGCTCCTGACATGCCAGGAACTGGTTTATCCTCCCCCGAGCTGACATCTAGAGAGGTATCTGGAGAAGCGTCCGTGGGGAATCATCACAGAATCCAGCTTATCTAATGGGATTTTTTTTGCCAGAAAATGGCAAAAAACCACTGAAAAATATGATCACGTGACTATGGGACCTGCAATAGAGTGTAAATGTGAGAAGGTTGCCAATCACCCGAAATATGATCATGCAATTGCTGGGTTGGTGCGGCAATCGTAACTTTGAGGATGAGTGGTAAGTAACATTTTTTGGAGGCTATTGCAACTTCACATGGTTATTAAGTGACCCATTGTCAATTGAGGCCCCCCTGTACTTGTACGTAAATTTCATGCTCCCAAAAACTGATTTGTAGCCACAAACTCAGCACTCACAATGCTTATGGTGCTTCTTTACAGACATGCAGATAATTTGAGTCACCTGATACACAGCTGAGGTGTCGGCATTTGCCAATTTGGTGTTCGCAGCAATTTTACAGAACATGAACACTGCGAGTAATGAGAATTCTCTGTATTTAAAGAAAATAAGCAGATTTACCAATACACAAAATAATCACTTTATTCCAATATTCATAATTCTGTACAGTATCTTCGCATAAGAGTAGGGATACATTAATGTGAGCAAAATATTAATTTTGTTAATGTGTTCTTGTTTTAAGAAACAGAAGTATCTGTTTTTTTCATTTGAGGATTGGCTTTGCCTTCATCTGTAGGATAATGTTTCCTAAAAGGATTAGGAGCAGATAAAAAGATTGAATTCTGGTTTATTAACAAAAGGTCAATGTTATAAAATTATAGCATGGTCATTTTTATTTCTGGAATTACAAAAAGTGCCTTAAATAGCAGGTTTATGGAGCAGTAATAGGTAAACAGCTGTCATTCATTTATCATATGTTTCTATTATATTGAATCTGTTCGCTTTGAATAGTTTTATCAAATCAGTACTACGGTTAGAGTTAAAAACATACAATAAAGCACAACACAGAAATAACACTAAGCTCATCTCCACTCTGGCGTGGTGCAATTTTGTTGGGATAATAGTCACTAGTCAATTTTCCATTCTTTCTCCATCAACCATCCTAAAGAGCTATTGTCTATGCTTATCAGTTTCCTGAATGCAGTACATTGGCCTCTGTATGACACAAAATGGTACACTAGGCAAGTCACTGCAGGCTCAAACAAATCTAAAGTCCAATAGTTATTCCCCAAAATACTAAATAAGATAGAAGACAGACTCGAGTTTCAAAAGGGATCTTCATAGGCTTGAGCAATAGGCCTCAGCCAACAAGATGCAGTCCAGTGGGTAAAGGTCCTGCAGTTAGGCTGGAGAAACTAAATGCCCAGGTAGAGAAGAGGAGGTACCTGGCTCAACAGCAGGTAACTGAGGGATCTAGGTGTCCTAGTAGATCACTGCTTAAGCATGAGATAGCAATGTGCTGCAGCTACCAAATTAGCCAATGCAGTCCTAGGCTTCATCAACAGTATCAAGTGATAGTACTACTCTATACTGCACCGGTAAGGCCACATTTGAAATACTGTATCCAATTCTGGTCACCCCAAAAGATCCTGAGACCCTAGAACAATGGTGGCTAACCTTTCTGGGCTCCTGTGCCAAAAATTGTGCATGCGCTTGCATTCTTGCGTGCCAGTACCCAGAAGGCAATGCGCCCCCCACCCCTTACGCATGCACATGCAATCCATCCACCCACCCCGCCGCCCCTGTATCTGCACTGCACCCCACAGCTGATTTTCGGCCAGTTTGAGACCTTTTTCGGGCTCCCAAAGGCTTGAGGAAGGCTTCTGCAGGCTTTGTAGGCCGAAAACTACCCCCGTTTCATCACTTCCTGTTTTTCTGAAAATACTGGAAGTGATGAAACGGGGCTAGTTTTCGGCCTGCAAAGCCT